AGTCGAACATTCGATTGCATTATTCGAACGATAGTCGACTATTCGGAACATTTTTTTCATAATAAATTCTTGATTTCCGTTTTACTTTTGTTTGCATAGACTATGCAAGAGTTATCCTTCTTTGGTGTATGTATTACGTATGTTTTTGACCGATATTCACAGGCACTTGACTTGTAGCTATTATGTTTACATGAAATTATATTTATTTAGTTTTAATATGCATCAAAAACTACCAGCAAATATTTTTTAAACTCATATAAATAAAATACGCTAAACACAGCATCTACACGTCAGGTGCCCGTGTGACATTGTTAATACAGCGATTACCGTAACTTTAAAATAGTTAAATGCCCTAGCTTACAACACTATAAAGTATGCGTGTTTTTATTAAAGTAATTATCAAATTATTAAAACTTGTCTCGGCTACCGTATGTGAACCTTTGAACATTACTAAAATAACAATATTATGGATACATGTTATGTAATGACTGTGTTTTTATTATAAATTTAGAAACAAAACCAAGCACAGTGATTCATAATTTATCAGAAAAGCAATTGTTATTGACAATTATCAGATTATAGAAGAGCATTAAAGAGCATTAAATTAATATGCATTTATACATTGATCATGAAAAATCAACAGTTTTTGTTCAGAAAAATAATTTTTTCAACAATTTTTTCATAAACAGATAAATTTGTAATCAAGAGTTATCGCTCTTTTTATCGTATTTTATTTAGTCGATAGTCGGTCGCATTATTCGATAGTCGGTCCTTTCGACTGACAGTCGAATAGTCGACTATTCGTTGACATCCCTAGTTACATCAAATGTACAATATTGTAAAAAAAAAAAAAAAAAAAAAATCATTATTAAATCCTTGACCTAGAATTTACTTCTAGTTAATGTTGATGAATTGTAATTATGTCATTTTGTTCTTTAATTCACACCAATAATTCAACATTGGTCCATAGGGCCGTCCTTAAAAAAATGTTTGTTTGGAATTGCTGCCTGAAGGGTTTCAGACACAGGAGGGAGGGAGGGAAATTATTTATTTATTTTTTTTTTTTTAATTGATGATAAATTTTAATTTTTTGATAAAAATCTCAGTAAACAGTAAATACATTTTCTGACTTTTAAAAAAAGTATCTACCATCAACAAAACCCCCTAATTTTTACATATATCTGAAACTATATTTCAGTGTTTTGTATGGTGTATGTGATACATGTAATGGGCAAAAAAAATTGATTAAATAAAAAAAAAAATCTTCCTACTTTTGGTCAATAAATTTTTTTTCAGGAGGGGCCATTTCAATGAGGCAGGAGGCAATTCCAAACAAACTATAATTTTATTTTGGCCTAGATTGTAATGTATTCTGTTATCTGCAGTGCAGTTTTTATCATGCCAATGAACATTTTCCCATTATCACTGCAAGCATTTATAATTAAGGTTGTTTTGTTTCTTAATGGATAGATTCTATACATGAGAATGGATACATGCACACACTATGGAAATTAATAATAGACCACGTTAACGTGTGGGCTGGCCTTAAGAGGTTAATCAGGAGCTTAGTAAGTTGGACCTCCATGATCTTTCGTATTTGTTGATAAAAATTAATCATACCGAGTACATTTATCTAATAATCCTCTTATCCTTCAGGTAACATGGCCATAGACGATTGATACAAAATTCCAATATCAAAACTTTCCTTTCCTAACTCTTTAATGAAATTTCCCTGCAGTGTGGCATAAGAATGTTCAATAATGTGAATGCGATATTTATATGAAACTTATTCAGATGTCAGGACTTTTTTCTGAATCAATCTTGTCTAATTAGGACATTAATGAAATTACATATGACATAAACTTTGATAAATGGCTTATTATATTGGAATACCCAAGAAATTTCATAAAATAAATTAATCAATGTATTCTACCCAATGAAATTTCTTTTCTTTTTCATTCATTTTTTTGGGGGGGGGGATTCTGAAATTAAACAAATAACTTCTTTGATATTTTTGATGCATTTGTTAACTTTTATTTAAAATTTTATATTATGTTAGTTTAGCAATACTTTTATAGGGATAGCCCAGCAATTAAAATTGTTTAGTAAACAACTGCTGCAGATCTATATTTATTATTCAATTTGAACTTGTGTAATTTAGGATTATATTTATCCCATATAGTGCAATCCACTTAACTTTTTTCTTGAAAATAAACTTACACTTTAAATGAATGAATTCAAATCAATACAAAGGTAATTTAATTACAGAAAAGTCTAAACCAGATCTATAACTTAAACACCTTTAAATGAATTCTTACTAAATAAATATGCTTAATTATGTAATACTTAAAAGTGTCTTTAAAACTTCAAGGAAAATGATACAATAAGCATATTTTTATTTACATATCCAATTAATAAAGGTCACAAGGCCAAAAAAAATAATAGTCCGGTTTCCTGCTACCAGCCTGAAAAAAAATAGGGTAGGTAGGTCAGAAAATTATTTTATTTTTTTATTTTATTTTATTTTTTTCCAGTGGTATTTGTTGGATATGAACTATTACAAAACCAAATTAAACAATATCATTGGTCAATATTATTATTTAAAATAAGTAGTGTTTCATGCAAGTCCATATTTAAAACATATATATTTCATGAAATACCACTTGAATGTATATTTTTTTCACTTTTGGATCATGAAATTTTCGATTTTCCCTCAAAAACTAAATAAAAACTTTAGGGTCGGGTGCAAAAAAATAGGGTAGGTCGGGTAGCAGGAAACAAGACTATTTTTATTTTTGGCCTAATCAATAACTTTAATTGGTTTCCAATAATGCATATAGTATTTATATATGAGTAGAGACACATATACCAGTACAAGTTTTTCAAAGCTGTCCACGATTAATTGAATGGTGACAACTTTCAATTGAACCAAAGGATAGAATGTATATTTATAACCAATATATCTAGGTCACATAGAATGCACATAGGTATTTGCTAAAAAAGCAAATCCAGGTCCCTATAATTACCTGTACATGCACCAAACAGAAAACCCACACGGGTGGGAAATTATTGCCAATCAAATACTTGCAGAACTGTACCCAGAAACCCCTGTAACATTAGTAAATAGAATGAATCTATAGATCTCTCAAAGATTCTGCATTTTAAAGTTCTCATATACTCTGTAAACAGATCGATCTATTGAACCTGATTATTGACAATTCCTTTGACGATCTCCCCATGTGTTGTCAACTGGCAGAATATCTATCAAGGGTTGTCTGAAAGAATTCCTAATATTCCATACTGACGGAATCAGGTAGGGTATTAACTAGGAAAACCTCTTTAACTATAATTATTCTGGTTTTAGCAGTGCTGAATATAGAATTAATCTGAAGGGACATAATAAAGTCATATTGATTTATTGGGGATGTGTTTATGAATACATTCTTACTACTATACAGTTATTACACACTGTGCACTTGGGAGAACGATTAATTTGAAATCTTTTCATTCCATTTCTCATTTTAATGAAATTGCTTTCAGAGCAACAGACTATTTTAATATGCCTTATTTTTGTTTTTTAAAAGAATATGTTCTAATTTCTTACTTTTTCTTTTCATTATTAAATATTGGTTAGTTTTATTATTTGATGGATATTTTGGACATTAAGTTACCTAGACAATTATTGGAATGATTCTGGTACATGTATATCAAAGCAGTTGCTGAGAAGTGCATGTATCTTTCATGTACCATGTTAAATTGCCTTCACCTGTGAAAAATGTAAACATACATGTACATTCATGTTTCTGGAATAAATTATTCTCAAGGATTCTTCATTAATTATCTCACATATATGCATCACTCCCACAAATATTTTTTCTTGTTGAATATTTTATATTTCCATCATTGAGCAAATATTTATTTGCATGAAGTAATGATAGGACAATTAATCTTTTTTGTCATATGCAAACACTATTTCTATCAACATGCTTTACATAAGTAAACACCCAAGATAACCGGAAACTTTTTTTGTGAATTTTAAGTGACCGTTATGACAATATAATACAAAACAAAGCAAAATAAGGTTACAGGATATGAGCAAACTCATTTACAGAGAACATATCTGTATTACGTAACCTTCTTGTATTGTTTTTTAATGAGAGAAGACCCTGCCATTGTCAGGATTGCTGACAAAGGACAATATATAACCAAGCATTTCCTTATCAATTTTAAAACTCCAATAATCAGCTTCCATAAAACCAGACAAATGTCACCAAATTGAACTTCCACTATCATAATCAGTCTACTCTAATCAATTATAATCAAAACGACCCCCTCCCTCCTTAATTAAGTATTTTGAGTATTGAATATCTAAATGGAATCTTGCAAAGAACTTGTGCAGTTTAAAACATTGAATTTAAACAAGGGCAAAAATAGATGCCAAGATTAATTAAGTAAATGGACAGATTCACAAGCATTGATCTCTCATGCCAACCTGAGATGCATAGCTCATGTGAGCTATTGAATTATGGAACATTACCTAGGAATGCTGGAGATACAAATCTAGTGGCATCACCAAATGTCTATAAAGGGCTCTTATCTTACACTGTCCTGGCCATCCACAATTGATTCTAAATCTAATATATACACCGAGCTGATTGATTAAATAGGAATAGTTTCCCTGCCATACCTTTTTGACTGAATGTGAAAATCAATGACAGTTTCAAAGTAAATAATATGCTCAGGCAACATTAGGTGGAAGGACGCAAGCTGGATCAGATTTTGAATGTTTTTTGTTTCTTAGTTTTTAAAATAAAAAAAACATTTATGAAGCACAGCAGTACACTTTCGAGTGAAAGTGTCATGCTCTCTTGCAAGAAAATATAAATTCTGTTTGACAAAAACCACACAGAACAAAATTCATCAATGAAGGCTTACACATTAACTGGACTTGAAGATCAACAAAAATTGATCTTTTCTTTAGCTTTTAAATGACTGTTTATTTTGGAGTTTAAGGTCCGATCAACTTTGGAAGACCTTCATGGTTTGCGAATATCCAGTTTAATTTTTTTCTTTTCATGGTTCAAGCAGTAGTTTTTGAATGCTAACATGATAATTCAAGGCCACCATTACAATTTGTTTACCTGTTAAATCCAAAAAAAAAAAAAAAAAAAAAAGTGATTGGGCATCGATTATTCAGTGACAATGAACTTCAATATACCCGTCATTAGTGTTCGGTATAGAGTCGAGAAAATTACGGTGCATCCTGAGGAAGCCGCCAAATGGAAAAATGTTTCTAATTCTGTCCTCGCTATGCCTCCCAGTCTTGCTTTGTGATTGGGAGTATAGATTCTGATTGGGTAAACTTCATTCTTGTGGACAGATCTGGCCTCAAAGGGATATATTTAATACATTTCATTAAATTTCTTCTGCGCAGGGAAATATTGAATTTTTTTTTTTTCTATAAAAGAAATGGATTAAAAACCATTAGCTGCAAATCGTGTTTGAGGATGCATGGTGCATTTCCTTACATTGATTCATGGATTATTTTGTGACAATGGAGATATATTTCTTCTTGAAGAATTAGGATACTTTTATTTGTTTTAAATTACATCAGATTATTCAAAATTTTGTGAAACATGGAATTTGCTGGAAAATTTGCCCGTTTATGGGCTGAAAAAGTGAAATCTGTAAGTCCTACATTTTGGTGGTAATTTCTTGCACTGTACTGATTGAATGAAGTATAAAGGATGAAAGTAGCTATTATATCTACCTAACTTCAGGTTTTAGGAAAAAATTTTTTTTTGCAGCCACCTTTATAACATCTTCAGTGATCTATTTTAATTAAGTTATATTTTAGATGCAACAAAATGCTGATCAACTTTTATTATGTCTTAGTTCAAATCATTATATTTAAGAAAAGGGATAACTTTGCATAAACCTATAGACTTGATACAGTTAGCATATTCAATAATTGCTTTGTCTTGCTGTGGACTTATGTATAACCTGATTGTGGTTGTCACAGGAAATTACAAGATTTTTCTCAAGAAAACATAAACCACTTGTGTTTTTTAATTCAACAATGGTTACACAATAGGATTAGCATTTAAAATTGTGCAACATTATCCTTAAACATTTTTTAACAAGAATGCCTTGAGCAAAGTTTAAAGTCTGTTAGTATTTGAATTCCCTCAGCTGTAAGCATATAACACAAATTCTTAGATGAAATAATGAGGTACCTATTTCATAAAAAGGTAAGATAATAGATGTTATTAAGTTATTTTAAAATATATATTACAATTTACTTTATTCTAAATTCTGGTCTATATATGGCTAATGTTTATGGTAATTCGTAATTCTACACCTACACTGTTGCTTATGCTCAGTAAAATAATGATCTTCAATCTTTGCCACATTCACACATCAGAATGTCACTGTAATACCTGACAATGTCATTTCCATTAAAAACACAAATTCTTAGATGAAACTAAAATCGGTACTCGGTTACCTGTATATTTTTGAATATTTCTAAGCTTATTTATTAATGCATTAGGGGCCTAAACAATCTGTTTTAAAACGTAAAATACTCATTGCACTTGTACATACAGTAATTAGGGTTTCCTATTAAATGACCGTTATCGCCCGTTGTTTATACAGTAATTATATATATGGCTTTTCTCACCTTCGGCTGTCTTCTACCATTATTTAATGATTTGCTTTATTTGTTTTCACTGAACATCGTTTAAGGTCTGTTATCATGATTAAATAAATTAGAGAATTCTCCGAGAAGCCGTAAATTCTCGGGAAAAGGGACAGATGACATTACACGCGCAATTGTTGATATGTCTGTGTTTGATTACATGCCAAGACATGTACAAATGGTTGAAGGCAGAGGCTTTAAAAAAAACTGATGTCCATCGTTGCACCAATCTACAAAATACCGTTCCGTAATACTAAAAAATCTAGGGTCGAAAAGTATACGAAAATCGTAAATCCGCTCTGTTTGAACTTGGTCAAGTTCAAGTCAAACTGTACGACTGATACCTGGACGTCAAACGCAACAAAGAGTTACATTTCAATTACGGAGTAGATTATTTTTTTGAATCAAAAACACCGTGAACCACTAACGATTTTATTTCTTGTGTTTATCTGATAAATAAATTGAACTTAAAAAAATGTATTAAATTTCATCATTGTTACAACAGAAATGCATTAACGTAAACATCAGAGCATGTGATTTTATTTCTATAAGAGTTTACAATGTTTTACATTCTTCAATTTACTTGTTCATATTTATTTACACTTTTTTTCATATTTATTTACACTTTTACCGTCATTTCCATTAAAAAATTGACCGATTTGACATCCCTATTAAAAACTATCACTAATCAATAGAAATACCAGAAATAAGCTAAAATTGCTAATAATGAGGTGCTATTTGCTACCATTTTCACGTTGATATTTGTTAGCTATTTTCACATTGAACATTATCATACAATTGACAAATTACTTCAATTTACAAGACCCAATAGGTCAGAACCTTAATTATTTTCTTTTTATTTCCAGAGAGGAGCCAGTATGGAGACAGAGCAGTCAGAGCTGGTGATTCCGCGACAACTCCTCTGCTGTAAGCTCTGTGATGAAGAATTCACGGAACCCTGTTATCTTCCCTGCCTGCACACCTTCTGTCAGAACTGTATAGACAAGCACCGACTAAACAGCACGGACAATGATGGCTACTTCCCGTGCCCGACGTGCATGACAGAAGTCAGTCCCGAGGAAGAGGACGGAGCGGCGGCTCTACCCATTAACATCCTGGCTCGGCGACTTTCTGTTCCTGTCATCGATCCCGTCAAAAGAGAGACACTGTGTTTTTATTGTAAGAATGCTGGAAACTTTGTGGAAGGTAAAACCCACTGTATAGACTGTGATGAATTTCTCTGCAAGTTGTGTGCCGATTCACACACTAGACAAGAGGAGTTTTCTGACCATCAGCTACAGAGTGAGGAAGATTACAATGCGGACTTGGAGAAGTCTTCCTGCACAACTGTTCAAGGTCAGGTCATTCCAATATGCTGTGATGCCTATGATCCTCTAGATATTGGTGCCATGTTCTGCGTTGGCTGTGATATTGCTGTGTGTGCCGACTGTCATGTGAACAAACACGGTGAACACAGATGTGCAGAACTTACTGCCATAGCTCAACACTTTGAAAAGAAAATTAAAGAACCTCTCAAAGAACTTGACAATGACTCTGAGGAAATAAGTGCATTTTTATCTGATTTGGATGTTAAAGAGCACACGATTCTTGAACAGAAAGATGCTCTGAAGCAACATGTTCAAGACAGAACAAAACAGCTTTGCAGTCTCATTAAAGATTATGAAAAACTTCTTTTGGATGATATTGAGAGAAGATTTGATGACCAGATAGAAGATATCAAGGCAAGAAGACTAGACCTGGAAATGCATTTAGAAGCCATCAAAGGAGTGAAAGATTTCACTGAAAACCTGCTCACTTATGGCTCCTATGAAGAGAAAGTGCATCTTAGAAAGAAGGTCGGGTACAGAATTCGGGAACTGTGTGAGGAGTCTCTTGGCACAGAACCTATTGAGATCCATTCTGTGAGACTCATGGAACCTAATGTAACTGGTGATACAATCTGTGATATGTTTGGTACAATTGAGACAGGAAATCAGTCTGCTCACAAAGAAAATGAGCACATCCAAGACAGCCTTCCCTCCAGTGAGCACTTCCAGAGGTACCACAGCTTTGGTGATTCTGGACATGGAAGCGATTCTATGGATCAGGTGGAAAATGAGCCAGAACTTGTGGAGATCTTTGAGAAAGGTGAACTCCAAAGGCAAGACAGCAAACAGGAGAGCTCAGACACGGACATGCTCAGCTCCAGCAATTCTAGTGACAAAATGAAGAATGTCAAGTTCAGGGAACAAGTCGATCGAAATGAGTTTGACATTGAAAATGTTTTTAACTTGGAGAATCCAAAACGAGAAGTTAATCTTCCAGCTCCTATTCAGAAAGAATGCATTAAAGGCATTGGAATAAATGAAAAGGGGGACATCATTGTAGGAACAAGCACCACGGTCCATGTACTAGAGAAAAGAGGCATCGTTAGAGGGCAAATCCCACTGGAAAATGGTTGGAACATTCACTCAGTGTCAAGTGATGGCAAAGTGTCTATGACAGTTCCTAGAGGTGATAATAGATTCAAAGTTAGGGTATTGAAAAGTGATGGCACAGGGCATATTTTATATGATTTCCATGTGGAAAGTTTTGGGCTAAATTTTGTTACTGCTGATCAGTCTGGCACACTCATCATAACCTCAAACCGCTATGCTCAGATTCACAAAAGTCATGGCAAAGCAGCCAAGTCAGGCGGAAACATCGCCTTCTATGGATCTGATGGTCATCTAATTCGCCGCATTACAAATGACAATTTCCAGGCAAATCTCTTGGAGAAACCCCAAATGGTAGTAGTGGACCAGAAACGCAACAGAACATATGTGGCAGACCCTGGCAGCCACAGGGTCATAGCTCTCAATGCCAAAGGAGACCTCATCTTCGAGTATGGAAACAAAGAAGGAGAGGAGGAAATATACCAAGGACCAGACCTCATCTCTATTGACAAATACGGAAACATTATAGTTACCGACAAAAGAGAGGGCCGTATTGATATCCTGAGTACCAAAGGAAACCTGAAAAAGTCATTTTTCACCGATGACATTCCTCGCTTTGTTGGTGCCACACCTGACAAACTTCTGGTAACAGCCATGCCAGATGGATCCATGAAGTTCTATGAATATCTTACATAAGGTCTGGATATTGCAAAGAGATGTTTTATTTTGGTAATAATCAAGTGTGCAGCTAGTTGTCCAATTCTTGTAATGCTTTTCATGGCTAGATAAAACCCTCTTGTGGACAGGGCATTATAATCAGTGTACTCTTATCTATGGAAGCCATGGATAGTGATACTGTAAATCACTTTTTATTCGCGAGAACTTTATTTTCGCGTAATTACGCGAGACGGTATGCTCGCGGAAATTTCATTCTCGCATATAATAAAATTCCTTAGGGTTATATAGAGCAATGACCATAATTCGTGAAAATTTTGTCTCGCTAATAAAGAGTCAATGTCTATCTCGCGAAAATAAGGTGTCGTCAAAATTAAGTGATCTACAGTACTATTTATTGTTAGATAGGATCACTTTTACCCTTGGAAAAGTTATTTTTGAACATTTAATATCCTGAGCTGTGTGTTAAAGTGGGTTCTAACATGCTTACACTGTTTACTTTAAGCATTACATTTCTAAATATTCCATTCATCTATAGAATTTCAGATATTAAAACACCCCAAAATAGAAGTACATGTTGTCAATATACACTTTAAACAAGAACAGGAAACTATTAAACAGTACCCTGATGTCTTTCTAGCTCTAATTAGAATACTTAGAATACAGTGCTACTCAATTTTTATCTTCACCTAACTCATTCCATGCTTTAAGCATGCAATTCTCATGATTAAATATTGCTGCTAGACTTATCCTATTTCTGTTTAAAAATTAATGATGATCAATTGATCCCCCATATTCTAATTTTGTTTTGCTCCCCAGTATGACATACAATTCCTCTCTGGTATCGAATTCAATCTAAATTTGATTCCTTTATAAAGCTTCAGTTCTTGGCAGCTTTCCAAGTACAAAACTTCCAATTTAAAAATCTTAGAGAGTTTTACAAAACATTGTTATATATGGAAAACTATCCTCTGTAAATTAAAAACAATTTAATAGACCTTGAATGCAAACCACTGAAACTAACCCTTAAGACATTTAAAGATCTTCTCACCAAAACTATATAACCTGATTTTTCAAGACAAAAAAACTTCACGGTCAGGTATCTATCATTTTAATTAACAGATGTTTTTTAGTCACAGAATCAGCATGTTTATTATTTTATCTTATTTGTTTGTCAAAGTTGATAGTCAGAATTACACAGGTCTTACTGACATATCGGTGTTGTCACTTGCATTTAAATGAGAGAGCTACATGCTGGGAATAGTGCTTCTGTGAAACTCATGAAATATTGATATCCCTTTCATGTGATATTTGTTTTTTATCTTGTAATAGTTATTTTGAGAATTTGTTTTCAATAAATATTTACAAAGACTAGTCTGGAATTTATGCACCATAATGATAATTTGCAATCAATTTCATAGACTTGATTGTTGACAATGTCTCTGAAGAAATAACTGTATTGAGATCATTCAAAATGCATGAACCACTGTATTAATTTTCTACAACGATGACAGCTGATGCAAGTAACGTAAGTTCTCTAACTATGGAACTATGACATTTAACTGATATGGAAAGGAACACAACTCTTATACAGCCTTATATAGTAACAAGATTAAAAAATCTAATATAATACACATTACTAAGGTAGTAGTATTTGAAGTATCTCATTATGATACATCAACAGATGAACTTGTGGGGAATATATAAGCAGAGCTTTCCATAAGGGTAGCAGGGGGTGACTTACTGCTGTTTCAATGAACAGAATTTGCTGCTTCAATTTCATTTTGGAAATAATTCTCTTAAAATGAATAAATTCACTCTTCCCTTCAAAATTATGAAAACCCTGATGATAACTTGCCCCCAACAGAACTACAAAGAAGCAGCAGCTGAATCATTTTTGTGAACAGTCAAACACAGGCCGATTCCTAGTCCAAGATTTTCTTCAAATTCAATTCACCAATTATAAAAAAATGTCAAACTTTTAAACAAAGTCTAAATTCCACGTATTTCACTATTTGACTTACCACTTGAGGGTCCTCAGAATACACAAGGTCAGGATTATCGATGACGAAGCAGGCATGGCCCTGCTGTATCAGAACGTCGTTAATATGAATGTCCTCTTTTCCAGAAGTGTCACTACAGCAGAGAGACATCACACGATTCTAAAGAAATAAAATTTCCTGTTAGTGACATAAAAAATATCCCATTCAAGATTCTGTCTGGTGCAGCAAATGGCTTGGGTAACAGATAACATGCAATTACAAATTGACTGCTTGATAAAAATGACTTTGCAAAATATACAATTAAAAAAATTCTTTGGCTTCTATAAAGATCTAATCACAGGATTCACATAATTATCAATTAATTAAATTTTTCAGTAAATAATAAAAAATATGTTTTTTTTTTACTTAAATTTTCGGTTAATTGATACACAAAGGGCATGCACACTTTAAAAGTCAAATTGATTAACATTTTTAAATATGCACTGTCAATAACTGACAATTATTTGAAGAAAATTAATACATGATTAGGTTGAAATCCATCCTCTACTAATAATTTTTAAGAATAAGGAAACACTCTACAATGACACACATCAATATTTACATGCAAATATTTCACAGCAGTAAATATTCTTCAATAAATGAAAGTTATATTAGAACTTGTAAATATTTGCCAAATGTTAAAAAAAGTTGGATTACAGTTAATTCTTCCTTCACAATAATCATTTATAGTAACATTGTGAGAAAGGCTTGTATTTGTAGAATTTTTCCCTTAAGGGACTCCGACCCTCAGCCAGGAAGGACCACTCTTTAATTTATAATTTAATTCAAAAAGTCTTTAAATGAAGCTTGAAAATTAAATCTTTTCATGCAACAATTTTCATTATATGCCTCTCAATGTGCTTCAAAGTTCTTTGCATAGCTCCATAAATCACTTCACTTCTAATTTCATATCATGTTAATAAACATTGGTATCTAAAAATGCTTTTACGGGATAAAAATTTCTACTTTAAACCTTTCTGAGAAGTTCAAAGAACCTTGAAGCACATTGAGAGGCATATAATGAAAATTGTTGCTTGAAACAAGCTTCATTTAAAGACTTTTTGAATTAAATTATAAATTAAAGAGTTGTCCTTCCTGGCTGAGGATCGGAGTCCCTTAACACTAACCTTTTCTGATGTTGCTATGGCTACCAGAGGTCGACAACTGACCAGCCTCAGCATGCAGGACTGAGACTCCACACTCCACTCCTGTAAAATAAATGATTTGTACAAGAATTGATTAGAATACATGGAAAATTTAGCAGTTATATGCAATACATTTTTTAAGTGGTATATCAAAATTATTTGATGAAGTTCTTTACTTGAAGACTATATGTACTAGTGAATGGAACTTCTAGATACATGCAAATGTACAATCAGAAATTCAGTTTTTTGACTTTTCTATAAGAAAACCTTTCATTTAGACAATTTAATAAAAGTATTTTTTTAATCATATAAAATTAATTCAAAGTCTCAACTTAATGCTATTAATTGTACAACTTCAAAATTTTTACCAAAATAGAAGACATAGTTACAAAAATTTACTTACCTCTCCTATCGGTTGAATGTTTGAAAGTCTACCGGAGATACCTTGTGCTGGCAGTTTCAAAAATTTTGATCTGAAATCCACATTAGATACATCAAACTTTTTATAGCATTTTTTAAAATTCAATTGTATAAATTTCAAATCTCTGTTTTCAAAAGTCATTATGCTCACAATTTATTTGAAAAGCATTGGTTGACAAACCTTAGGAAGCGGATATTATTGCGATGAACATCACATGTATTCCCATAATCCACAAAGTACACCTACAATAAAAGTGATAAATCTTAATGAAGAACCTTTTTTTTGTCATAATGTTGCTTTCTCCTTAATTCTTGTTAACAGTTATTAATTTTTACATTATAATCAGAAAAGGCAGCTTTCAAGGTTTATATGATAGAGATTAATATTTTTGATCAGTAAAACAGGATTCTGATGGTGAACATTATGTTCTGGGTGGATGCAAAAATTAACCTTACAGCAAACCTTTTCTTGATGAGTCGGTAAATTCTTCAAAAAATGTTGTATTAAATTGTAAAAGCTGCTTCATGTCCATGTACAATACCAATGTTTCGATAACTTTTACTGGATTTGAAAAGACCTTAAGTAGTAATTGTTTAGGAAATTGGAGAACAATTTTTTTTTTGCTTGAATCCATTATATCTGCATTGAGCAAATTTTACTGTAAAAATAATCAATGAAAACGACCTGCCCCACCTCTACATAGTTTCCTGGACACATGCCGGTTATGACACAGCGATGCCAGTTATCATCCTCTGGGAACACTGCCGCCACGATCAGCCCCACCGCCACCATCTCACTGGGAATCAGGTACGCCATTCCTGCCTCTCCAGAATAGGATTCCCTGTATATAAACATTCACTTCATCATACATATTTCCTCATACTTACAAATTTATAAACAGAATAATAAACATTATTTCCTATGTAGGTTGTAACATGAGCTTTGATTAATTACAGAGTTGGGCGTAAATTTCCGTGCACCCGACTTGAGCCGGGGGTAAATACAATGTGATGTCACAATGCATACTTTCTCTATGATAAAAAGCAAATGACATGACGTCACGATGCATTGTAGTACGTAGTAAATGTTATCAATAGATTGAGACACAGTTGATTAGACTCGGATGTTTACAAAAAATTTTTATGGGTACATAGGTAGCAATGCCCAAGCAAGGGGGAGATAACTTTCCAGATTTCCTCAGACTCATTTTGATTCTTTATCAGAAAAGAGCTTGAAAAGTATGGATTAATAAACTACTTTCCCTCCTGTTTTCAAACATTTTGATGACCTCTGTATGAAGTTTGAGATGCCCCCTAGCATTACCAACCCGAATGTTTGAAGTATGGCGAGATTAGTTGTTTTAAAAATACATTGAAAAATAAAAAATTCTCTAATTTTCATATACAGATGAGTAATGTGTCAAAACATGAATTAGAAGCTTCCTCTGTTATACCAATACAAAGCATATCAAATGCAGGCAAGTATTCAACTGTTCTTGTTCGCCACTCGAATTTTCCAAGGCCCTGGAGGAAATTCGGCTAGATTATATCCAATATGGCAACCAACATGTGTGTAGAAAAAAATGTAAACAATGTTAATTGAATGTCTCACGGTCTGTTTACTTCATTGTCAAGGTGATACAATTTTATATTCTTGTTTTTGAACTATGTCCAGAAACAGCTGAAGCATTTTATTCATTAAATTTCGTTCAAAGGCTATTTTGTGTGCGTAAATCGAAAATAGGGTTCATCTCAAAGTGAACAAGAATAAATTTCAAGATTGACTAACTTTGGTGAAGAAAACAGTGAAAGTCAAATAAAAATTCATTTATAATCATACTTTGACTTTTATTGATAAGTTTATTACTTTAAATGACTACACAGCACAGGAATAGACACATAAGCTACTGTACAGCAGGAAATTAACTCGCGGAGTTAATTTTCGCTATATTCGTGGAAAAAGAAATTCCGCAAATTCAACATACGAGGGTCATTCAAAAAGTTCGTAGACTTTTGTCATAACTGTTTTATTTAACGTCATAATTAAACCAAATTTGGTACATATATTTTTACAACAGATTCAAATATTTTGAGCAAAGAAATTGGAATATATGTTGATTTTTGTCAAAATTATCGAAGATTTAAGACAGCAAAAACGGGGTCACGGAGCAGGGTCAAAATTGAGTTATTGACTGATTATTCACTTTTCATATCTATAGCCATATCTCTTTAAAATTGTCCTTAACTGAAATAAAATTTAAATACTTAAATTTAGTATTGTTTCATTTCTTCAAAAGCTAAAAGTTAATGTAATACATTGCTTTGTTTAAAAGATATCATTTTCTATAGACAGATAGTCTTGATTAAAAAAGTAAAAAATCATGACGTCGAAGGACGTCACGGAGCAGCGAATAGCAATATAATTTTGTTTTGCATTTGGAAACTTTTAAAACAAGCTCCGAAAATGCTGAAGAAACCAGGAAAAATACATAAAATGAGCCGTGTATTTGTTTATAATGGAACAGACAATTTTGAGGGGTAAAGACTTTAAATTGGGTGATGGGCGTTCTGCAAAGAAACAGATTATAGTTCAAAATCTTGTCAAAAGAGTTAGTAACGTCATGAAACGTAATGTGCGCTTCACTGTTGCGGAACCTGTAAGAGCAGAGTTACATGGTAAAGGATTTGAAAACTTTGACAATCTTATTTAAGGTATACTCAAATTATTGTTAGCATACTAGGTGTCAAGTGTTATGGATACGTTTTAATGAATGAGGAATACGATACAAACCGTGTATAAAATGAAAAGGCACTGTGAGTTTGAGAAATTTTCTTTAACGTTGTTTTTTGACGTTACAATGTTTTTGACCGTGCTCCGTGGTGACAAAACGTGCTGCTTTTAAAACTGGCTAACATGAGTTCCGTTTAATCAGATAGAATGAAACTTCAGAAATCTGTAAGATATATCTTTTTACATATAAAAATGTACTGATATTAAACTTTGTAAAAATAATGTGATAATGAGGAACATTGTCTACATATTTTTTGAATGACCCTCGTACAGTGAATAATTCTTCAAAAGTTTTAAAAAGATAATTGAAATTTTATTATTTTCTGTGATTAGATGTAGACTGTCTTTATAATTATGCGAGTGTCTGGATCAATTACAAACATGTAGTTGTTGCCTTTTTAAAAGCTTATTAATTGTTTAATTCATTTCTATAGCTTGCGATTAATTTTGCCATCTAGTAGAAGTGCGATGTAATTATTTAATAAAACATGTTTCTTTAATTTCACCCATGCGTATCACTCAGTCATTACCTTTAATCAAAGCATTACTTAGTAAACAGGGTAACGACAACTAATTAATTTCAATTATATGATTAAAAGTTCAACATTTTTGCTATGGTATAATTTTTTTTCTGATTTGGACCCGGAAATAAACAAAAATTAAATGCGTAGCATTATTTTGACTTCAAATCGCGATCAGTCCGGTGTTTCGTTATTATTCAATCGGGATCAAAATCGACACTTTTCTGTCTGATATGCGCGATATACAGCTCATATACTTTACAGACTTTCGTAATATTCTATAGAGATGGGAAATAACACTTCACACAATATATACCTACAGAAAAATGCTTGCAAGTACTGTTTAAGAAATTTATGGTTTTTCCTTTTCTGCGAATTCAAACGACCGCGATTTGCTGAAAATTGAACAAATCGCGATCTTTTCCGACCGCGATTTTAACTTGCTATACAGTACTCTGTATAAATAAGGAAAACAAAGGAAGACAACTCTTGCATTTTACATATCGTGTCATATATTCTTCTGTGTCTCAACAGTGGCACGAGAATATTATGAAATTTCAGATAATTAACTAAGTGGTACCTAGGTTATATTCTAAAATTATTTTGATCTAGCATTCCTGTATTATCTGCTTTTTATTTGCCGATGTACACTTTCTAATCATTTTGCTCGGAAAGATTGATAACTCATAAATTGATAATTCATAAAAAGCTCAATTTTCACCCGATTTGAGAAATGATTACCGCTGTGGAATCAGTAGGTCATACTTTACACAATGGACATAAAAAACTGACAATTCTTTGACTCCTTAAAAATTTTTGGGCATTGTAACATAGGAAATAAATTTGTTATCCAGGTCCAATCAAGGGTGTACAGGGATTTACCCTGGGTTGTATACCATACACCCTTCGGCCTCTGGGTGTATGGAATACAACCCGGGGTAAATTCCCGTGACCCTTGATTGAACCTGGATAACTAATAATACAGCACAGTATAGATTAAACATAGAATTTCACTGACTCTAAATGGTTCATTAGCTTTTCTAAGGCTAGCGAGGTCTTGGGTCCTCGGAGCTGAAACCAGAACTGTCCTGGCGACGCGACATTGGAGATGTAGATCTCTATCCATGTGTTACAGGGAGGCAGGTCTATCTGGGTATAACTACAGCCAGGGCCAATAGCATCGGACGGAACATTACTGTCCAAGGGCACATGTACTTCTGGTTCAACAGAGGTCTTCAAAGACAAATAAAAATGAGTTGTAGCCAGATAACTTTTAATGACTGGCTCTTGTAAGACTACTAACTCCTGAAACAGTCACTGATGAGACATATATGGAAAACAATATTATTTTGACAGATAAACTACATTTCACGTTCCCTCACACATTTGCAAAAGAGGGGACATCTACAGAGCAGCTAAGCTTTATCAACAGAAGATCTATAGGTATAGAGACTGACAGGGGGACACAGGAAGTCATTGTGTTATCTGCTTTATCATGGACACTTTATATCTTACTAGGATAGCAGGTGGTTGATTTCTAGCTCCTCTAGGTAATAGAAGGTCTGTCCTAGGTGGAGACTGATCACCAATAGCATACAGGTAAATGGAATCTGTGTAAAAGAATAAACAGATAGAGACCTGTCATCAATAGCATACAATTAAATAGAATCTGTATTAAAGATGTACATATTGACAATCTTATGTTTATATGTATCATCAATCTTCCATATTTCCAATAAAATGCTGCTCTTTTTAGTGAATAATAACCTAGCTATCACACATGAATCAGGACTAAGAATAATAAATGTATGAATGAAAATAAAATGCAGTTCTTTAAATCAACATCATAAAATCAACTTAATGATTTTTTGGTCAATGAACATAAAGAACATGATGAACTTACTGTTGCCTCTATATTCAAACTTCAACACCGAGTCTGCCAGGGATAATGCAAAAGCCTCCACTCTTGTAAAGCCTAACTTCTCCCATTCTAGACACTTGCCAGTTTCTTCCTAGATGTTAATGAAAATCCAGTTTCAAACATTTAAAACACCTGAACAGCACTTATAATGATAAAATGCAATTTCAAAATGAAACAGCAAATTTTACCTAAATTTTAAATTATTTACATATATATATTATAACTGAAAACACACACAAACAATAAGAATTTTTAAAGAAACAGATTTTTATCAAATGAACCTTGAATTACCTGTGCTGAGGTATTAAGACTCACCTGAAACACTTGAGCAAGATCCTGTAATCGTATTCCCTCGGGGTGAGCCTGTAACACCTGGCGTATTGTCTCCTTGAGCGTACTGTCTGCACACAACTCACTACTGTGTCTCTGGCGGGCCAAGGCCCCTCCACTAGCTGTCTTATCTGTAAATTAAAACCAAAGATTCAGCTGACAGTATAAAATCTGTATATCCACATTAAAATACACGATGTTCATGTATTTAAGTTGATCTATACTTAATTTCAAAATGTAAGAAGACCCACAAAAAATACCAATAATGCCAGGACATTAAAATAAAATTCTTATATAACATCTTCATGTTTTATTTTAAAAAGTTATACACTTTAAGCATCTTTTACCTGGCTTTGGAGAAGGTAATCTCTTGTCAAACAATTTCCAGTCTCCCTTGCAATGAGGTCTTTCCATCCTGATGACTTGCGGCAATGCTGAACATAACTCTATCACACTGGTGTAACCATGGTCCATTGGTTTTAACTCTTTCTTAAAAGTTTCCTTAAAACAATTTAAAAGAAGTGTGCCATGTTAAAAATACTATAAGATTTTTGCCCGCTTTAACAAATATGGACATGCCAGATCTTTTGAATTGAATCTTATCATATCCAAAACTTTTTGAAACATTAAATCTATAATTCATTCATAAAAAAAATACTTTGTATCTTATAGTTTCATGCATATTAAACATGAACTAAGACCTAAAATTGCAAATTAGAAAACTGTTTCATGAAGAGTAAATTTGTGTTTTTAATACCTTGTACGCTGCTAGTAATTTTGTTGCCCACAATCCCTCTGGTTTAGAGCTAAGGAGCTAAAGTGTATAAAATGAATTAATTTGTGAAAAAAATGAAGAATAAAATTAAAGTAAATCACTTTAAAATATGAAATTTTGAATTATTTTTACTGATTTGTGTTTTAAAAAATAATACTGTCGATTGGCAAATAATCACCATGGTTTTAATTGCACTATGTTCGCAATTTATCATTTTTCCGCAAAATTAAACCCATCATGAATATTATTATTAGTTTTTTAGAAAAGCTTCAATGCTTATACGAAATCTTGAATTAATTTCTTGCATCGTGAAATTAAAACCATCGCAATTGGTTATTTTTGAAATATCATGAAATTTTAACACTGTGGAATTAAGACGACTTACAGTAACTTTTTCATGCCCTGTTCACACGACGAGTTTAATTCGCAGTAAATTAATGCGAAGTAAACTAATGCGAATCAAATTAATGCGAATTAAATTGCGTTCACATGACAGCTAATGCGAAGTAAACTAATGCGAATTAAAATTATTCTTATACAGTCAGGCGTCAGTAAGTCTATTATGACGTCATTTGTAAATCACGTCATGTATGCAGAGCCATCCTTTAATACTTCATGTAGTGGCTACAGGTATTCATTGATTTTAGTGATTAACATACTTTCCCTCAATTTTTGAACCAAATATAGCACAAATACCTATATATAACCACCAACACGTGTCCTGTGACTTAATTGTGGCCTTACGCATGCGTTAAAATTTAATTCAAATTAGCTTCGCTTAGCGTTCACACGGAGCTAATGCGAAGTAATTTAATGCGTGCAGTAAATTAATTCGAATTAAACTAATTCGCATTAAATTCTCCGTGTGAACGCTAAGCGAAGCTAATTCGCAGTAACTTTACGTTTAATTCGAATTAAACTCTCCGTGTGAACAGGGCATCACTGACTGAAGAGAACCAAATACCTGTTGGAGTTCAAAATGCAGCTGATGACTGATGGTACTTTCAAAATCCACGCTGTTACCAGATGAGGAGTAGGTTCCAGAACTTTCCTCACTCTCGTATCTACGGCGCCTTGTTCCAGGCCCATCATTCTGTCTGTTTATACAACTCTTCTTCTTCCCTAAATTCATTTTATAATTTATTTGCTAATTTGCAGATCAAGTTAATAGAAATGACATGAAATAATATTTCAATAAACAAGGCAGGATGTTAATGTCCGTTTCCTATCAATACATTTCTGAATCAGTAACGTTTTCCTGAGAAGCAAACTTTTCTTTACACAAGAGGCTCAAATGCCATACTGCTCACAGTAGTTAGAATAATCTAACTGTGTCTCGGTACAAGCCCTCACCACAGTTAGAATACGTCCCATATACTTGCAATGTAGCATTTCGGAGCGGATCCGCTCCGAAATGATTTTGAAGAATATTAAAGGATTTGCACTGGAAATAACAACCAAATTAATCAAAACAGACCTTTTTGAGATTGCATATGCCTTTTATACCCCAAAATAATCCATATAAAGAAGAAAATCCAATTAATTTTCTCAACGTTTTTCTCTCGCTTCAAATTTAACTGCCAAGTTTACATTCGGAACTCTCTAGACTGTTCCTAGTAAATAAACGAGTGCGAGTTATCGCCCGTGTTTCTTTTGCTACATTACGAATACACGGAACGAATTCTATCGTTAAACCCGATCCGTAGGACAATATAATTTTAACGATAGAACATTCTATCTATGCTCACATATGCCACCATGTCCCTGTTTTCTTCAGAAGTTCTTTTAAGGTATTAGGGGTGTAATAGCCATGACCTTGCATATGACTAAATTAAGCATATAGTTATAATGCACAACACTTTCGGCAATATTTCCCTTAGTTTCATGCAATTTTGTCCATACATATTTCTTACGTGCTCATTTATGTAACTGTACCCTCTCGCCAGTGGTGCACCCTTAATGGACAAAGGGTAGAGATGCAATTTTTCTAGTTAGCCAGAGAACAGTTTAATGTTTCATGAATTTAACTGTAACAATAAGCCCTAGGATTGTAGACATTCAATTTTTTTAGTTCAAATTCATCAGATATGATATATGAATACTTGTAATCGAGAGAACTTGTCTACTTTTAGTGACAATTTTAGATATTATTGTTATAAAACCGTTTATAATATTCTGTCAAAGAAAAATATGGTAGGGATGATCAATAAAAAAACATTGTAAATTTTGTGTGACATGTATTTGTGATAATATAATCACAAAAAAGAATTATTCTATCCACAATATTTATCTATATTCTACATTAGAGTGATGTACCCCCTAAAAATGTAAGCCATTATTTTTTTGTTAACAGGTTGGGGGGAAACGTTAATTCCGCTATAATAGTGGTATCTCACTATTATAGTGAAATTACGCTATATTTCCTGCCGTGGATTCCCCCAATTTCATTCAATACCGTGCAAGGTGTTTGAACCGCAAGTCATGTTGGGTATTAAAATGAACAAAAACTGTCATGCTTGCATGTTTTGAATTTTAATAAATTTTCTACCGTTGCGTTTAAAAACGCGAGCACTCTTTATTTAACGAAAGTTGCATTTTGAACATAGCAACCGATGATTGCGGGGGATTTAAGCCTGTTTGAGTCATACTTATTCCTCATTAATGTGCACAAATTGATGCTTGTTACAATTGTCAACTCGGACTGGAAAGGCTTTTTGGAATTAAACAAGAAAAAGATTATTTTTGTCTGCATGGTTACGGGTATGGAGGCTCGTTAAGGTAAACGTAAAGACCAGGGTTCGACACTAACGCTAGCCCGCTGGCCCGGGACAACTGAATATTGAGGTCGGGCTACCAAACATGTCTTTAAACTTGCCCTGCAGGGCTACAGTAAATTTTACCAATTAATCACTAAAAGCAAGAGAAATAAATATTATTTACACACCTGATAATTGTTAAATTTATTTTCAAATAGGTTCATAATCATCATAATTACTATTTTTGTAAGTCAAAATGTAAACTTTAAAGGTGATTCGAAATACCATAAATGATTATAAATATGGAATGTTTTGAATAGAAAAAAATGTCTTAGGTACAATCATAGAGTGACATATAATTTTTACCCAAAATGCAGCCAGAATGCAGGAATTCCCATCTCTATTTTCAAAATTTCCCGCGGGAGGCCCCCCATACCCCCACCAGCAGGAGGGGGAAACCCCCTCCCGCACCTACCCCCCTTGTCGCTTCGCGACTCAGGGCAACTTATACATGAACAGGGCTAGTAGAAATTAGAGATGGCTAGCCCTGCTGACAACTATGGTTTCAAAGTTAGTGTCGATCCCTGAAGACCCATTAATATCGGCTGCCGCCCATCTTTATGTGGTTGTGTCAGATAGTGCACATGGGAAATGAGAAGTTATTTTTGTAATAGTTCAGTAAAATAATTCTTCATTGATAACAGGTAGAAAATAATAAGTAAAATTTTCTTTAAACTAAATATTAATCGCTGTTATAACATGTATAATGTTTCCATTTCATTGTCATTTCTCCTCAAGATATTTGATAATTTTTTACTATATAAAAAGAGTTTACAAAAGGTACTATATAGATATAAAAGGAAATCATGATTTTGCGGATAGTAATGACGTGGTACATAGTGCACGGTTAAAAAAAAAGGAAAAACTGTTCAACTAGTAAAAATTGTTTTGAATACGTTACAGCTGCGAATGATACAAGGATAATTTTTTTTCTACAATTTGCAAAACGCCTTGCAGCATAGCCTATTCTGCAGAAACAAAGAACATTATCACGTGATAAAGATCCAGGGTATCTGCACGTGGTTCGGTCTTTTCAATTTCAGACTGTCTTCAAAGCAATATAAATAAACAATTGAAAAAAAAGTAAATAGAGATTTTAGTGCATTTGGTCATCAGATGGATTCATCGATGTAATAAAGTCAATGATAAATTATATTAAGAATTTATTGAAAATGAAAATATACACTTCTCAAGATTCTAGTTCAGCTTTGAATATCTTGTGCTTACCTTGCATGAATATGCTTTCAAAATTGTGAAAGTACTTATTGAAATGCTAAATTGTTTGCGACCGATTTCATGCTTTGCATCCATTTTTAATTGTTGAAAATTTGAATTGAGTCAAGGATATTTTTAGATACTTTCATTGCTGAATATTGAGCAGTGGCGATTGGTTATTTGAAGTTTTCTTGTGGTTAAAACAACAACACTTTGGAATAAATCTAGAAGTCTGAAAAATTTATACTTTTTGTGTGATGTTTTGCAATATACTTTCATTTCAAATGAATATAATTAGATTTATATATTTTTCGAATATCAAGAAAAAAAAACCCAAAGCTATTTCTCTCAGATTTTAAAGTTAAATCGTTCTTGCCTAAGTGCATATCCATAAAGCGTTAAAAAATAAGATACGTTTTTGCGGAGTTAAAATGATTGTCAATTAATAATTATTTGAACATGTGTCATAATAAGGTTACAGGCACTCTTGTAAAAATACCAAAAACACCAAAATAAACTGAGTCTTTTCTCTGAAATACGGTAAACCATTAACCAGCCGAAATTAAAAATTAGAGATGTTTTCTACGATCATTTATATTAGTAGTTTCTGGATTAGTTATTTAAATTGATTTCGTTAAAAGGATAAAATCGAGTTTTCCAATACACTCTTTTTTATGTTTGCCATAATGGGTCTTTGTGTTTACCATAACGAGCCTCCATACCCGTAACCATGCAGACAAAAATAATCTTTTTCTGTTTAATTCCAAAAAGCCTTTCCAGTCCGAGTTGACAATTGTAACAAGCATCAATTTGTGCACATTAATGAGGAATAAGTATGACTCAAACAGGCTTAAATATCCCCGCAATCATCTGTTGCTATGTTCAAAATGCAAATTCCGTTAAATAAAGAGTGCTCGTATTTTTAAACGCAACGGTAGAAAATTTATTAAAATTCAAAACATGCAAGCATGACAGTTTTTGTTCATTTTAATACCCAACATGACTTGCGGTTCAAACTTCTTGCACGGTATTGAATGAAATTGGGGGTATCCACGGCAGGAAATATAGCGTAATTTCACTATAATAGTGAGATACCACTATTATAGCGGAATTAACGTTTCCTCCCAACCTGGTTAATGGTATAGGGTGGGTTGTAACGAATGAACTAATGAGCTTGAGCATATATAAACAAAAGATGATTGTCATACTCAACTCACTTCACTTTAGATTCATTTGTTCAGAAACTGACCTCTTCTCACAGTGACCTTGACCTAGACTAGGGTTTGCAAAATAACCTACATTTTTGCAGTTCTCATGTGTATAAAGTTCTTCATAGTTTATATTTACTTTACAATGAAGGCTAAAATATATCTGACCAATCGCGAAACACTGATCAAAGGGTTTTAAAAACAATATTGTGCCTCTCATATATTATAAATTAATGAAATATGTATAGATAAATATGTTAAATACCCCCCCCCTTTCCAACGCGGCTAAACTCATGCAAAAAATAAATAAATAAAAAACCCACACACATAAAATTCACCCTGACCTTACTAGGGCTGGATCAATATATCGGTAATCGGTATATATCGATATTTTTTAGCAATACGATAACCGATACAGAGATGCTTGCGTATTGCTCGATTATTTCAACGTTTAATTAAGAGAAAGAAAAACGTCAAAGTGACTAATATTACGAACGACTTATCTAAAATCGTTTAAACGCATGTAAACATGTCAAAAGTGTAGGGTCGCTACGTAAAAGTTAGCAGCAAAAAGGCAAAATGTGATTATATTTGTCAACAAGAAGTCGCAAGTTCTGGTGGAACAACGAGCCTATATATTATTACCCATCTCAGACGGCATCGCAACATTGACCTGTTTGCTACTGTGAAACTTGGAGGCAATTCCGGTAGGTAAAATGGCGCATCGAAAAAAGTCATGGAATGTAAACCGATAATAAGATATCAATCAGAATTTTTAAGTCATAGTTTATTTTAACTCATTGACAAAGCAATTTGGTAAAATATTTTATCTGCCATTACTCCCACGAATATGACTTCAAGTGAAGTATCAACACAGTCAAAC